CACAGCAGTCAAGTCAAACTCATTTTCATTTTTTTGCAATAATGTGATTTTTTTCCACTGTATTACTGCTCGACTTTCTTCTAAATATGAGATGCCATTATGAAAACACATGTAGATTATGAGAATCATCTTATTAGGAATCTTTTTTTCTTTGTTTTTGCTGGCGGCTACCGAAACCGCACAAACTCATTCATTCGACAAAATTTGACCACTCAAACAAGATTTTATTGAGTTTGTTTTGCAGGAAACCCAACCCCAAAGCAAGCTACAGAGCCTACTCTCATTCATCAACATCATTTAGTTTCCACTTCTCCCCAGAAGCTCAGCAGTAAATATAAAATGCACAAACATCTGCACACTGAATCACAGAATCTGTTCTATCCTCCAGTCTCTTCATTACGCTCAGAAAATCGGTCTCTTTGCGTGTTTATCTACAAGTGTCACAGACAAGCACACACACACACTGTCAATCACAATGCTCTTTTTTATCCACAGCTTTTTTATTTTATTTTATTTCTGTCTACAGCACACAAGGGCACATGTAGTCCCTCGAGGGTTTGGATCACATATCATCATGTTCACTGAGCCTCAGCACTGCGCTTCATGAAAGACTCCACTTTTGTTCCAGCATGTCACAATTCATGTTTTACTGCAATCTGCTTTCTGTTATTTCACAGAGGATTCTGCAGTGGATTCTCATCTCTTTCTTGTGCGTCCCAACATGTACAAGACACTTTGCACAGCCCTGTGTGTGCATTCCTTTGCTTTTTAGATTTTACTGCAAAGGTTTGTACTATTGCCTTGAATACACTGTACTTGTTTGCACCGTTTTGCTGAAAAATAAAAATAAACGGTCTCTAAAATATCTTAATGAGGACTAATTATTAACTGATATGGAAACTAAACAATTGAATGAAAATCAACTATTGAACATCAGAGGTGGCTCGGTTGTTAGAGCTCTAAACTCTCAGTAGCAATGTTTACATGGACATAAGTCACTGGATTAAACGGCCATTCTGAATAAAAATGTCTCATGTAAACGCCCCATTCAGATTATTTTTTGTTCATTCAGCTTGATCCGAAAGAATTTATAATCAGAATGAGACGGGTGATTTATGCCGATTCATAATCTGAACAGTGTGCATGTGAACACTTAATTTGTTCATTTTTTTTTCCGATTGTGGAAAAATGACCTGACTGTGCATGTGCGACCTATGTCTACCTCACGTATTTCCACCTGGCTAGATGCTAATAATATTAGCATGTCAGGGAAGCAAAACGGTGAGCGACAACATTTCTACTAGAAACTTTGAAAAAGCTCAAAATGATCTGTATCACCTGTAGCTCAGTCAGGGAGTGCAGTAACGTCTCCACCATCTTTAAAACCTGTCGCGGGTCCATTTTGGGCACTCAGGTTTGTTTACGTTCATCCCGGAAGTAGAACTTGTAGAGCATGTAAACACAACTAGTGAGAAGTCGGCGGCTTGAATCCCAGCTGGAGGACTTTCTGTTCTCTCCGTGCATGTGTGGGTTTTCTCCAGGTACTCCTGTTAAAGACATGCAGGTTAGGCTGATGTTTTTTTCCTCTCGGCTGCTCCCTTCTTCAGGGGTCACCGGAGCAAAATTTCTCACACGAAGACTTGGCAATTATTTTTACACTGAATGTCCTTTCTGACGCAACCACAGACCACAGCTACCACAGCCCTCTGTGTGGAGCAGAGAGCTGCCATCTAGGGCATATGGTGCGAGTTAGGGGCCTTGCTCAAGGGCCCAGTGTGGGGCAAATGAGGGTGAAGGCTGGTGTGGGTGTTTCACCATTCCCACCCACATTTTGCTGTTGTCTGTATGGGGAGTTGAACCGGCGACCTTCTGATCACAGGCCCACCTTCTCTAGCCTCTGCGTCACCACATGCACCATGCATGTGCCACATGGTGTGAGCAAGAGAATGAATGGTTGGTTGTCTCGTTTGTCTCTATAGGCCCCACATACTTGGGCGTACTGTGCGTACTCCGTGAGCTGCGCGGACTGTCTGCAGAAGGTTGAGACTTCATACTCGAGCATACAGATTGCCTAAAATTCTCTTGTGACAAATTCCTTCATTTCTCACAATTTCAGTCATGGCATCAACAGACGATGAGGAAGAGATCTCTTGCCTCTTAGCTTTAAAAAAAACTAACGAAAAGAAGGTGGTACATGCAGTAAGGTGATTAAACTAGACCAGGGATAAAGAAGGGGAATTTAATGGACTGGTGAAGGACATGAAGACGATGGACAACAAGAAACATTCTGAATATTTTCGAATACCCCCAGGGAAGCCGCCGCACACCCGTCAGTGCTGCACACAGAGCGGCAGTCATGCTGCGGTTGGTGTAACATGCAAAACAGTTCCATGTGAGCACCGTTTCTCGCCGGGCAGTTTATTGTGCGACACAGAGTATGCGTATACGCAGTCATAAAAATGTATATTTGCGCAGACATGGTCGGTGGACGTCCACTTCGAGTCCACATTGAGTCCGCCTTGAGTGCACACGGACCTCCGTGGAGTGAAGTATGTGGGGGCCTTAGTGTACCTGTAACGGACTTGCAACCTGTCAAGAGTATATCCCGCCTCTCGTACAGTGACTGATGGATATCAGCACCAGTGACCCCCGTGACTGAAAAGGAAAAAGCGGGGATGGATGGATGGATGGATGGATGGATGGATGGATGGATGGATGGATGGATGGATGGATGGATG